TTCAAACAAGTCTGATAGTCTCAAAGAGAAGAATGAGCTTTCATCATCTGTTCTTCAAGAGAGTTCAGAAGTGTCCAAAGAGTCGAGAGAGCCGATTTACAAATTTGAAGGAGAAGAAAATTCAGAAAGTTCAAACACGACGTCGCAGGATTAAACTATGTTATTTTTTTATTATTTCTTCTTCGATTTTTTTTATTCCACAAAAGTTTTAAAAAAGGATCAGAGTGTTAAGTAAAATGTCACAATTCCACCAAAAGAAAAGACTGTTTGAAATAGTTTCGAAGTCATTCAATGGAATATATCGTTTTCGTGTTCAATTGAATAAAACAAAACTAACAGATTGCAAGAAAAGACTCTGTTTTCCAAAACTCAATTTTGTGAAGGGATTTGTTATCAAAAACAAGAAAAGTCGAATTGCTCGACTGTTTCTTATTTATAACTTCTAATATAAAATTATTGAAAACATTTTCTTTCAAATGTGTGTAAAAATTGTTATTAAATTTTTAAACAAATTTTATGAGAAATCTGAATTGGTTTCCCTAAGATTATTGCTGTTGAAAAGCAAAGCCTTGTAATTTTTAAACAAAACTTTTCTCCTCTATTTTTGTAATTTGGAATGAATTATTTATTTCATTTCCAAATGAGAGAAATAGAAGATGAAAGCCGTATTACAACGGGAACTTCTACTACTCCTTAATTAAAAAAACTGCCCAAAAGTATTAAAAATTGGAATGGTGTTATAAATTTACTTTTTCGGATTCATTTGTTTGAAAAGAAACATTCAAGTCAGTTGCTCTATGAATTGCTATCAAATTCTTTGCAATATGTAATAAAGTCTAACGAAAAGAAACAGAATGAATTTAATTACACAATAAACAGCTATTTTGATGTTTATACAAATGAGACTTACAGCGAACAGGGGTCTGGGTATAAGCATTGTTCAGTGATAGTCTCCGTCCAGTAATAGACTCTCTCGTTCTTGTCTTCTGTTGAAAGGAATCCAAGTCCGTTCTTTGACAAGTTGTCGAGAGTCAGTGGGATACTGTTTTCTTGAACGGCGGCACTGACAGCACGGTGTGGTTTCTCTTCGAACGAAGCGACCGTGTTGGTGACTGAAACTGAGCGTTTGAAAGAGTTCTCGACAAAGCTGTCCATAGAGATTTGGACGAGTGGGAAGAATGTCTTGTGATATGTTGGGAGTGTGACTGGTCTGAACACGGTTTGCATGGGATGGTGATATGAGTTTTGCGCGGACTTATATAAGTGCCAAAAACGTCAAATTTTTTGATGTGGTTTTTGTTACAACCCTTTGAATCGGCAAAACGCGTGTTTGGTTTCTTAACAATCTTTTCTTTGTTTTACTGTCTTTGCGTCCATTTTTGAGGGGTTTGGGAAGGCGTTTTGAAAGTATTTTAAATACTTTCTTGATTTTCACACAACATTTTTTCAGGAACATTAACGGGTTTTCTTTGTTAGAAGACTCAGAAAATGAATTTGTTGTCTTGACGGTGCGATTATTTTTGGGAAATATGAAGAAGTTTCGAACTGAGTAAAAGTCCATCGTTATTTCTGATTACATGGTAACAAGGAAAACCACTCACCAATTTCTTAGTATTTCTTTGTTTTTGTTAAATGATTTTGTGGTGTTTTTTCGGGTAACAATCTTTTGGTACTTTGTGGACGGGGTTGCTCTGCTTTTCAAACTCTTTCTTATTCGTTTTATTCATTTCTTTATGTTTGTTTCTATTTATACGCCACATATGATGTTAATCAAAGCAATAAATACGAGTAACTAGAAACTATGGTATATCAATGGAATGAAGTATAGTTCCAATGCTTATGAGTCGGGTTCCCTTTTTGTTTTTTTGGAAAGGAGCAAAACGCGCTTTCAGGTGAAAAATTGCGTGATTTACAATGCAAATTACCAAAAACATGTCGGCTATAAATAAGTTTGCTTAAATATTATCTTTCGCTCAGCATTTTTTGGTTAAAATAAGAAACACTTCCCGGCATTTTCAGTTTTGTTGAACCATTCTGTGTTGAATGAGTGCTTATTTCATCACCATAATTGTTGATTGCCTTTATTCAACGACAAATAATTACGCAAACCTAATTTCGGAAAATCCTCAAAAATAGATCTTTTCGTTTTACTGAACAAAACACTTTTTTGCTCTGTTACTATATAATATTATTTTATTAACAAATATACTATTGTTTTATTATAGATTCTGCAAGTAAAGTTAAAAGACCAAATTCTCAAACTGCCGAATTCCAACCATTGCGCTTGTAAAAATAAATAACAAATAACCAAAAAAAATTAGATAACAATCCAAAAAACAGCCCAGAAAACATACTCAATTTATTATAATTGTTAATCATTTTTTGGGTTTTCACTTTTTTAAGTTTTCTTTTCTTCCAAATAGTATTTTATTTACTAAAAGAAGACGATAATAGAAATGTTTTCGTTTTCGTTACTGTTTTTGCCGCACTCATCAATTTCCCTGTCAAAAATGCATTCAATCTTATTGATTGTTGGCCAGATTTGATTCTAAATGTCGGGGGTTTAAAATATAAGTTAAGACAGACTGCTCATTTCACTACAAGTTGAGGGCAAATCAATTCTGGAAATGGGGATGTATTTTGGTAAAATAAAAAAAAAGAACCCAAAGCGATGGTTAAAAAAACTAAACAGATAGCTTTTTTGCGTTTTGGATTTCCCGAGATTATGGAGTCACACACCGAACCCCAAATATACGAAGTCGTCCACAATTTTTTTAAAACTTGAACAAATGAAAGATTTTTAACCAACAAAAACGACTCTTCACTTTGCTTTTTTGTGGATTTTTAATGCAAAATCATCTCAAAAACATGAGAAAACTTTATTCGGCGTGTTTTAAGTTTATTTGTTTTCTTTTGTGATCAATTGAATCGCCAAATATTTCTTGTCCCCAATCCATGCCTTCTCAAAATATAGAAAAACAAACAAAAGCCATCCATGAAGGAAAAACAGTTCAGTAAAACATTGAAGCACTTTTATAATAAAATATACTATATTTATAATACATAAATTACCAATAGCAATCACTTGACTTTCAATTTGCACAGCGGATTTACTTCGCGATTTGTATCAAAAATGTGAAAGTAAAAAGTATCTATTTGTGCGGTGCGGGGTAACTCAATCTGACGAAGTGCATAACATTGAGTAAACCACTCTATGTCAAACACTTTAAGCGTGCTTGGCAACTTCACTTTCGACAAATTCCCGCATCCACAGAAACAGTCATCACCAAGAGAAGTCAATCCCTCCGGTATTTCAATAGTACAGAGATTCATATAACACCCCTCGAAACAATAACTTCCTATGGAACGAACATTAGACCCTATACTGACATCCTCTAAATCACTACAATAATAAAAACACGACTTTCCAAGTGAAAGGACTGTGTCTGGGATTGTTATCGATTGTAAGTTGCAACAGTCACTGAAACACCGTTCCCCGAGAGACGTGATTTGAGTCGGAACAACAAAAGATTTGAAAGTGCACTTTTCAAAACATTTATACCCAAGGGAATGAACAACGGGGGGGATCTTGTCGCCATACTTTACACGATCACTCTTCGAATAACAGATGTTTTTATACTCAATGGTTTGATGGGTTATGGTTGTCTCGTAATCAACTTCAAACCAAACCACTACCTTATAAAAAGCAACTCTGTTTGTGTTCTCAATTTGAGTTGAAGAAACCACTTTATTCCCAAAAGTCTCGTCCGTCGGGTTATAAAGATGCAACGTTTCTAAGTGAGGGAAATATGCAATTGTTTTGTTGTTGATTGGAACCGGGTTGAAGTGTAACATCTCAAAAATTTGGCGATACTTTTTACTTACTAACACAAGCTGCTTAATCGTGTTAATGGTTGTGTAAAATTTCAAAGTAGTTAACATGTGAAAGCATTCAAGATGCGCCATATGCGTATTTTAATGAAATTTACTTTTATAAGAGATTGTTGAAGATTTTTAGAATTTAAATTGAGGAATTAAATGAGTTTTAATTTCTAAATAATTTTAAGATCATTAATTAATTATTACTCAAATCATTCATTAATTTTTGAACCAATTTTAAAACAAAGTCAATTGAGACAATGAAGACGATTAACCGTCTTCAAGAAACTTACTCACTCACACTTACGTGCAGTCGAGTTTCCAAACCACTTGGTCTGGTCCAACCAGACACATGGGTTATATCCATATGGCTTCTCTTGCTCACCCTGGCACCATGTTCCTGGAGCACATGGTCTAAATCCCTTAAATGTGTTGGCACATTCATAGTACTGATTGTTGTGGATTCCATCAATAACACAGAAGAGACCGTCTTCCTTGCAGACAAAAGGTTTGTTGCACTCCTCGCTCTTTTCCTCGCTCTTCTCCTCGCAGTGCTCCTCTGAAGTCTCATTGTTTTGTCCTTCAATCACACATGGGTTGTACTGATAAGGATTTCCTTCTTCACCTTTGCACTTGGTACCCTTTGGACAATCCAAGAAGCCGTGATATCCATCAGCACAAATGTAGAAATCATAGTCATGAACTCCATCCATGTAACAATAGTATCCATTCTGTTTGCATTCATGGTCTTCAGATGGGAATGAAAGCTCTTCTGATTTTTCAACTGAAGGTGTGACAGGTTCTTTGGATTTTTCGTGGCAAGATTTCTCTTCACAGGACTTGTCTTCACAGTGTTTGGATTTCTCTTCCGACTTTTCGACCGATGGAGTAACAGGTACTTTGCTTTCCTCATGGCATGATTTTTCCTCACAAGACTTATCCTCACAATGTTTACTCTTCTCTTCGGATTTTTCAACAGATGGCGTGACAGGAACTTTGCTTTCTTCACTCTTCTCATGGCAAGACTTCTCTTCACAGGACTTCTCTGGACAATGCTTTGATTCTTCAGACTTCTCAACAGATGGTGTGACAGGTACTTTGCTTTCCTCACTCTTTTCAGTGCAAGACTTTTCTTTGCTCTTTTCCTCGGATTTTTCGACCGATGGTGTGACAGGTTCTTTGCTTTCCTCACTCTTCTCATGGCAAGACTTCTCTTCACAGGACTTCTCTGGACAATGCTTTGATTCTTCAGACTTTTCTTTACTTTTTTCTTCTGATTTTTCAACTGAAGGAGTAACAGGAACTTTACTTTCCTCACTCTTCTCGTGGCACGATTTTTCCTCGCATGATTTTTCTGGACAATGTTTCGATTCTTCAGACTTCTCCTTACTCTTCTCCTTGGATTTTTCCTCAGACTTCTCAACTGATGGAGTCACAACTATTGTGCTTTCTTCACTCTTCTCATGGCACGATTTTTCTTCACATGACTTGTCGTTGCAATGCTTTGACTCTTCAGACTTTTCAGTGGAAGACTTAACTTCACACGACTTATCATTACAGTGTTTCGATTCTTCAGACTTTTCTATAGATTTCTCGATACTCTTCTCTTCAGATTTCTCAGTTGATGGAGTAATAACGATTGTACTTTCACTCTTTTCGTTGCATGACTTCTCTTTGCTCTTCTCCTCAGATTTTTCTTCACTCTTTTCTTTAGACTTCTCATTGCTGCATTCTTTGCTCTTCTCCTCGCTCTTAGTTTCGGAGGATTGCTTTGATTCTTCAGATTTTTCTTTGGATTTTTCTTCGCTCTTAACTTCAGAACTACTCTTACTATGTTCTTCAGACTTTTCATAAGAACACTCGTGTGATTTTTCTTCGGAGCTTTCGGTACTCTTTTCCTTTGAACACTCATGGGAACATTGTTTTGACTCCTCACTCTTTACCTCAGAGCTTTCAGTGCTCTTTTCATAAGAACATTCGTGCGATTTCTCGTGTGATTTTTCTTCAGAGCGTTCATAAGACTCTTCTGAGTGGCAGTGTCCACCTGACTTCTCGTCGCAATCGAAAGATTCAATATAAATGCATGGGTTGTACCCGAAAGGAGTTCTCCCTTCTTTGGCGCATCTGGTGTTTGGTGCGCAAGGTCTAAAGCCTTGATAATTGTCAGAGCATTCGTAATACTCTTTATCATGCACTCCATCAAGGATACAATAAAGACCCTGGACCGAGCAATTGAACTCACCAGACTTTTCTTGGATTGTGTCAGAGTCATCATCCACCTTTACTTCAGCGAGCACAACTTGTAGAACTAAAACTGTAAAGACTAAAACAGCTCTCATTTGGAACGAATGAATTTACTTTTCTGCGGTAA